TCACACACCCTGCAACCTATAAGATTCGGCTTAAGTGCTAGCAGCCAGAAACAATCCTCCAGCACATCCAACAACCCATAAATTTTGTTGAGAAGTCCTTTTTTTGGGACACCCCTCTCACACCCCCAACAACCCACGAAAATCAACTGTCTTCCATTTTTATAGACATTCTTCCCACACCCCTTTCGCCCATATCTTTTCGCGAAGTTCTGTCAGAGGCTGACACAATCCCCTCAACAACCAATCACACACTTGTAAGTACTGGTCGCAGACAAACTCGTGCTCCACAACGTCGGCCTTGTAACACGTCACAACAAGCTGGGCCTCGGCATTTTGCAGCCCGAGCACCTCGGAATACGCGCGCTACTCCATGCATGAATGACTGTTATGTGACAAATTGAACCTGCCCTCATGAAGTTCACTGTCAATCACTGACGAACTTGTCATTCACTGTCTCGTCCTCATGCTTGCACATCGGGTGGTGGATTGACGGTAAATTCCGCAGTGAGTGTCAGACCCGAGGCGGACCCGCGGCCGAAGGAGCCGCGGGTTGTCAGAACCTAACTGCGGGTTTAATTTTCTTGACGGTGCAGCGGCTGCATAGTCGCGAACTGTCGCAAGGGGAGGGTTGCGAGTATACTGGCCAAACTTTTTGAGTCAACCTGAATTTTTCGAGGTTATGATTGGTGGAAGCTCATTTGCGCGACTTTGATAGTTGTTCGGTTTGACACCTGACTGGCTGGAGCCGTCAGTTTTTCGCAAGACCCAAGGCAATTTTTTTCCAGCCTCGGATCTTCCCGCTAAACCCTCGGGTCTAACACTCGAGCGGAATTCGCCTTGAGCCACATCAGATTTTAAAAGGGTTCCCGCGGGTACAGGCTCTGTCAATTGAGTCACTTGGGTGAATTGCTCAAACTTACGGCTCCTATTTTTTCGCAGACTCGGACACAACGAGCTCTCTACCACTAACGCTTGCAAAGCTACCAAGTTGCATCTGACCTCTGAAAAACGAGACTTCGACTTAGGCACGTGGTTTCTGACTCGACATTCTGAACCCTAATACAGCGGCGGAAACAATTGTCTGTATGTTTTGCATAAATTTGGATTTTTTTGCTTTAAGACCACTATACATTAAACCTTAATGTTTAATGGTGGTACGATTTGGGAGGGGCACATAGTAGATGTGTTCATTGCACAAATATCCAGAATAGTACATTGGATCTAACTAATATCCCAAAAGATACACAAAGGGTACATCCGGACAAATAGTTCCAAGCAGGGAGGGCAAACTTCAAAAGTGTGTTTCTAGTTCCTAGCCCCCCGACCTTTGGCCTTGATCACCGCACGCACCCTCCTAGGCAAGCTGTCGATGAGGCTAGAGCAAACCTCGGCATGGATCTTCACCCATTCTACCTGGACCAACTCTTAAAGCTCTAGCATTCCGGAGGAATGATTTTTCTGCTTGGCCAGCTCCCTTTTCAGGTAAGCCCAGAGGTTGAGGTTTGGTGAGAAAGAAGGCCACTCTAGGGCTACATACGCATGCTCTCCAAGCCATTCATGCACTAGGCATAACAAATTCTCGGGGTCATTGTCCGCAACGAGATGACCTCAGGGGCGATGGGTTGGAGCCGAAGTCTTGTAACAGTACTGCGCCAACAGCCAGGTCACTAGCGTCAGGGATGAGCTCGAACGAACGGTGAGGATCTGCAATTCAAAGAACTGGAGGTGTAGTCAGGAAAAGTTTGAGCTATTTGAACGTAGCCTGCGGCTCTCCCCTTCATTCATAAAACTTGCCTTTCTTCAGGAGATCCGTGAGAGGGGAAGTTACCCCCGCCATGTTCGGGATGAAACGGTGAACGTAATTCACAAACCCCATAAAACTCCGAAGTTCATGGAGATTAGCCGGCGGCTTCCAGTGTTGGATTGTCGCGAACTTTTTCGGGTCGATTTTAACGCCGTCGATCGAAATGACGTGTCCCAAAAACTCCAGTTCTTGTTTGAGAAACTCACACTTAGAGCCCTAGGTGATGAGGCGGTGCTGCTGCTGGAGAGATAAGATTGCTTCTAAATCCTTCAAATGTTGTTCCCGGGTAATGCAGTAGATCAGGATGTCGTCAAGGTACACGATGACGCATTTATCCAGCAGCGGCCGAAAAACTTCGCTCATGGTTAATTGGAACGTCGAAGGCGCGTTTGTTAAGCCAAATTGCATAACCGTGTACCCGTAACTCCTGTACCGGGTCCGAAACGTCGTCTTCTAGCAGTCAGCTTCGTTCACGCAGATCTGATGGTAACCTCCTTGCAGGTTAATTTTCGAAAAGAACGTGGCTATACGAAGTTGGTCGATGAGTTTGTCGGCACGTGGGATAGGATAGCGGGACTTGATGGTAACCCGATTCAAGGCGCGGTAGTCAATACACATTCGTAGACCACCATCTTTCTTCGGGGTGAACAGGATCGGAGCTGCGAACGGGGAAGTGCTGGGGCGAACGAAACCTTTCTCGAGCAGGTAGTCCAGATGGCATCGAAGTTCATCCAGCTCGGGCTGAGTCAGCCGCTATTGAGTCTGAACAGTCGGTTGCGTGCCGGGCTCCAACTCAATTTTGTGGTCGTGGTCTCGTTCATGTGGCAAACCCGCCGGTAAGTCGTCTGGAAAAATATCGGCGTGTTTCCGAATCACCATCGCCAAATCATCCGGGACAGTTGCGCAGAGTTTGTCGATGTCGGCTGGCGTGTCGACAGCCGTTGATGCGATCCATCGGACGGAATATAGTTGCGCCCCTCGAATCATGGCTCGCTTAATCATCACCGCGCTGACCGTCGATGTGGTCAAATCTTCAGAGCTTCACTTGGGTACTCGTCGCCACTCGCCACTCCATTTTATGCGACAATCGCCCGTCCGCCAGTCGATGCTCGGGTTGTATTCGCGCAGCCAATCGCGTCCCAGTAGCATGTCGCAGCCATCCAAAGTCGTCGCCAGCATCTTCGTCGTGAAACTGAAATTTTTGCTGCATATTGCTCGCGCGTGAGGTACCCGCTCCCGAATTGACAGCGGTGTGTCGTCGGCCAATCTCGCGTCGATTTCAGGCATGCAGCACTCCATTTGCAGTCGCATTTTTTTTCGTCTTCGTCACGTCCATCAAACTGTGGCTCGCCTCGCCATCAACGGATATTTTGATGCGGGTGTTGCCAACTCTCCCTTCAACTAGCACACGGCAATCAACCGGTTCACCCCCCTTATTTGGCCAGGAATGGTCGATAGCCCAAATCGGCACTATAACCTGGTGGGGGTGGTGGCGTTTGGGCGACGCAGTCAAGTCAGTAGGTGGCCCATCTGCTACTGACGATCTCCATTTCCCGACTGCTTCTAGTCGTTAGGTAAGTTCTTCTTCGGCTCCGGGCAGTCCCTCACCATGTGGCCCGGCTGGTTGCAGTGGAAGCAGGTCCTCGAAAATACTCGGACTACAAACACGTCCACGCCGTTGATTGATGTATGTTAGGGCTGGCCTCGAAAGCGATTTCCCTCCCGGTAACCCGTTCTCGCGAGTCCACGGCGTGCGTCCAGCGCGTCTGCTATGCGAACGATTTCGTTGAATGTCGACGGGATTTTCGTTGATTTCGTTGAATCTCTTGCTTGAGACCACCCACGTAGCGATCGATTTTCTTGTCCTCGCTAATCCCTCTGATTTGGTCGCAGATTGCCAGAAACGACGCCGTGTTTTCTTGGACAGAGCCCAACTGTCTCCGCATCCGAAGCTTTGTGCGAGCATTTTTGCGCATGGATACGTGCTTGAATCTGCCCTTCAACGCTTCGCCCTACGCTTTCCACATGCGGATCGTGGCTGACCGAAAGATCGGTTCTGCCTTCGCTGTACTGTGCTCCCATCTACCGCCCGTTGATTCTCTGCCGGGGCTCCTCCCTCGTCCAGATGCATGCGCCACCAGTAGAGTGCCGGTCCCCTCAGCAGCGACAGAACCAAGTTGACATGTGATGCGTTGTCATTAATACTTGCTGCCGTGAAGAAGATTTCCATGGCAAATAGCCACCCGCTCACTGTAGTTGTCCTGTCGGTCGGGTTGAACGGTCGTGGCATCGGAGGTTTGATTTTAATGGCCACCAGCTGTTCATTGTGGACTTCCTCAAGTGCTTCAGGTGTCGCCGACGCCCTCGCTTCACTCGCAGCATCTTCGTCTCGCGTAACAGGCCGCCCCTGACGTGTTTCACCTCGCGTCTGGCGAAGCAACGAGTTTTCGTTACGCAGCGTCTGTACTTCGCTTCCCAGCGACTCGAACTTATCGGCGAGTTGTTGAAGCTGGGCCTGCAGTGTCGTCACTGTAGTTTGCCCTAGCTTGCAACTCGTCAAACTCCTCCTGAACTACGTTCCTAACACTACGACGGGCAGAGGTTTCCGGCGTGATAGACATGCTGGAAATTTTACCTGACAGATCTGAGGGTGTACACGCTTCTAGTTGGAGGAGCTTTAACGGGCTCAACTACCAACCGCAGGCCAACCCTCTATTCTGCCAGGTTCTCTCCCGATATAATCGGACTACTCTACGGAAGACTAAGCGGGCTGGAACGGGGCTCCGATACCAGCTGTTATGAATTAATCAGAATAATAACAGGTAGTGTAATAAAGAGCGTCGATACTAATGAGGCCTAGGCATTTATAGGCACGAACAGAGCTGGCCTAGTATCACGCGAACAGGTTGGGGCGATTCGGTTGGCGAAAGCCACGGAAGCGCTGCGCGTCGAGGTGTGGGTTCGCGAAATGGTTCGGGACCGAAGAAGTTGGCCTGAGCCTGGACCCCTGGGGTTAGAGGGCGTACGCGCTGTAGTCGAGCCCAGTAAGGAAAAGGGATTTTCCTTTCAGTGGTGACATGTGTGGTAGAAGCGCTTGCGTCAGACGTGGAGCGGCGTAGTAGTGGTCCTGGGGAGGAAAACGGCCGCTGCAATGTGTAAACGAGTTCTTCCCAACCTGTCTCTCTGTCCATCCCTGTCCGCGTTTTCAGGGCTAAATACTGTAAAGATTTCTCCACAGCCTCCTAGCCTCCATCACCGTGCGTCACGCCACTCTCGCTGCCGTTCTCGTCCTAACCTTTCCTTGTGCCTCACGCAGAACCTAGACGTCTGCACCACAACGCTTTGATCGCCACTTTAGTGTCGGCTCGCTTTCGGCTTCCTTACGTACTAGTAGTACCTCGTGGTGTGTTCGTGACCTGCTGTCCTGCGTCACTTTAGTTTGGTTATTTCTCAACCGCAGCAGCAGGAGAGCAGTAGCAGGCAGCTACTCTGCACCCGCGTTCAAAGAAAGAAAGAAAATGGCAGACTTGAATCTCTCAGACAGTATGCCTCGGGTTAATCCCTCTGACTGCTTTCCCGACGAATTACTCGTGGAGGTATTCCGTCTCGTCATGCAGCATCCACCACCCGGCGGTTCCACAACCAACTCTCGCGCTAATAATCCCCACCTGCAGCTCCTTCGCTACCATCACTAGGACCTCCTCTCGTATCTCCAGTCCGCCGTTTCCCTCTCCCACGCGCTCGTGTGCTCCCGCTGGCGCGACCTCGCGTATCTCGCGGTCATAGCCATCCACCCCCCGCGCCAACGGGGCTCGCACACGCCCGCGGACCAGCTCGTCGCTGCTCTTTACCGCCATCCGAATCTCACCTCCGTTCGCGCCGCCTTTCCTCGCCCCTGGGATATGCCGCGTGACGCCGCAGCCACTATGGAGTTAAGTCGTGCTTACTGTCTTGGTAACCCTGCGGAGCCACAGGTCGTGCCGCCGCTCCCGCCTGGCTCGGATGCCGACCAAGGGCTGGACGCTCTTTCGCGTTGTACGCGTTTGAAGCAGCTCTACCTCTCCGTTCCAGTAGCCAGGGCCTACAGGTTTCCGGGATCCATAGCGAATCTGACCAGGCTGGTGCACCTCAGCATCGCCTCATGCAGCTTGTTTCAACTGCCCGAGGAGATAAGCGCTCTTCAAGCTCTAAAGTTCCTCCACTTGGAAACAGAGAGTCTCACATCGCTGCCCGAAAGTCTGGGCAGCCTCGGCAATCTGCTGGACCTGCTGCTGGTGAAGTGTTACTCCTTATCCTCACTGCCCGATACACTAGGGCAGCTGTCGAAACTATCCAGACTCTGTGCCATGGGGTGCCTCGAGCAACGCATCTTGCCCCACGCGTTCTGCAGTAAATTTGGTGACCTGCTTGCGCCTATCACGCAGATATCCTCCTCCCTCGAGATTCTGGAGCTAACTACCTGTTCTCCGCATTTGCCGGAGTACTTGGGGAATCTGACCAATCTGCGAAGGCTGGGGCTGCTCAGTGGCAGCAGTCTCACGCACCTGCCCTCCTCTCTGCTCCAGCTCTCGCTCCTTCAGCGCCTTAAAATTAGATTGTCCAGCTCGCTTTGTCTCCTGCCCGAGAATCTCGGGCAGCTCTCAGCACTTGAAAAGATTCATCTCTTCTGCACAAATGGGCTTCGGGGCCTTCCTGAGTCGATCGGGCAGCTGCGACTCCTTCGAAAACTGGAGCTAAATGGTTGTGGTGATGTCCAAACACTGCCAGAATCTCTGTCACAATGCCATGCGTTGAGGACTCTTAAAATCGCTAACTGCTACTCACTGTCCTGCCTGCCCCAAAACATCCACCATCTGACGGGCCTTCAAGTGCTGAGCCTCAGCTGGTGTGATAACATTTTGCAGCTGCCCGACAGCCTCGCTCTCTGCCCGTCCCTCGAGCGCCTCTTCATCCGCTGCTGCTCTGGTCTCACGTGCTTGCCTGAGGAGATCGGCTCTCTCCCTCGGCTCCTGGAGCTCGAGGTGGATAGCTGCAGGGGCATTCACAGTCTGCCGCTCTCCCTTGCCCTGCTCTCCCAGCTGAGGGATGGCTCGGTGGTGAGGGTGGTTGTTAAAAAGTGCTGCAAGAAAGCAGATGTGGACCCATTGATTCAAGACATGGTGGATGAAGAGGGTGTGGAGTAAGAGAGGAGGGAGGAGAAGGGGGGGGAGGAGGAGGGGGGTGGGGGGGGAGGAGGAGGGGGGAGAGGAGGATAAGGGAGATTGGGGTGAGTCAAGGGAGGTGGAGAGGCAAAGGAACACTTAGGAGGGATCATGCATGCCTGCCCATATGTACGTGGGATGGAGGTGACGAGGAGGACACGTTGGGTGAATGATGGGAAGCACCCTACAAGGAAGGTGCGTGGCTGCCCGTACATGGGACGGAGGTGAAGAGGAAGATGCACTATGTGAACGGCATGCGGTTTCCTAAACCCAACCAGGTGTGCTTGTACATGGTAGGTAGGTTGTGTGCTCGTGAACCCTTGTCCATGTACAGTGGAAGCATGGTGGCCAGGGCCTACTTTTGGATTTTTACTACTCTGATATTGGGGAGTGACATTTCGCATTACTCTGAAAATCAGAGTGCATCCTCACAGTTTCTCTGATTTGCCAGGGTTTTTTTCCATTTTGAAAATTTTACACTGGTAGTGCAGAGGGGAAATTTCCACAACTCTGTGCTGCTGTTGTGCACCCCGACAAAGGTTGATTGAGGGGATTTTGTGGTTGGTCCGATCAGATAGACGTACGTTTCATTTCAAATACACATACATTCTACCGTGTCGGACGCTTCCAACTTGTCTAAAGATGCGTCTACCATGTCAAGCTTATCAGAATTGAGAAGTTAATTGATAGAGTGAGAGTACACACAAATATACCTAAGTGTTGTACCCTCTAAGAGGTGACCCTATACAGCTATACAAACATAACAAATACACATGTTTGACACACCCCCTAGACTGCATAGGGGAATGTCCTAAACAAACAGCTCAGGGCGGCACTACTAGTCCAACCTCTGAGACAAGGGTCTGAGAGACCAGTCAGGAGTACAGACAAGGCAAGAACAAGAGCAGGGCGGCACTACTAGTCCAGCCACTGGGAGAGGACACAAGTCCAGTCTGAGGATACATATAAAGGACAGTACAAAATCAAGGTCCTAGCAAGTGAGAGGCTACAGGAACTAGACCAAGCTGTACACAGTGCCGCTGATGATCTTTAGGCGCAAGCGCCTTCGTAAAGATATCAGCCGTGTTGGCACCTGAGGCCAAGTGTACTATGCGAGCCTGACGTCGCTGCTGTAGCTCACGCAGGAGGAAGTACCGCAGCTGAATGTGCTTCGCTCTGCCCTCGAGTCGAGGCTCCACAGGAGGATCATGGCCCTGTTGTCAGCGAACAGGACCGGGGCAGAGCTAGGCCGCTCACCTAAGTCAGTGAGCAAGAAGGTCAGCCAGCGGAGCTCCTGTGCCGCCATGGCACCAGCGTAGATCTCAGCCTCACAGCTGGACTGCGCAACAGACGAGGAGCGAGTAGCTCTCCACGAGACGGCACCTGAGCCAAGGCTGAAGCAGTAGCCCTGGGTAGACCGGAGTGTCTCAGCGTCGTCTGCCCACGAAGCGTCTGTGTGCCCAGTAAGGACCACTGGCCTGCGTCCTCCTAGCACTAACCCCATGCCCGATGTACTAGCAAGATAACGCAGAACCCTCTTAGCGGCAGACCAGTGCTGCGGTCGGTGTCTGCCTGTGGCCACAAAGCGCGCCAGGATGCTGAGAGGGTATGCGAGATCTGGGCGAGTGCAAGTCATCAGGTACATGAGGCAACCCACCAGCTCTGCGTAGGGGCCGCTAGGCTCTACCAACTCCTAAGACACTGGAGCGGAGAGTCTGTGGTCTACAGGCAGAGGGGTGGGCTGTGCAGAGGAGAACTGAAGGCTGAACCTCTGAAGGACCTGGCGCACCAAGTGTGACTGAGTCAGGGTGATGGTGCGCGCAGCTCTGTCCCTGGAGATCTGCAAGCCAAGGTAACGGCGCAGTTCTCCAAGGTCAGTGCACGTGTGTCTCTTCAGCAGCTCTGCCTTCACGGAGGCCAGTGCGTCCCTGTCTGCTGTGGCAAAGACCAGGTCGTCGACGTAAACAAGGATGTAGAACGGAGTCTGGCCAGCACGAACGAAGAGTGAAGGGTCTGCGGAAGACGGAAAGAACTGCAGGTCAGCAAGCGTAGCACGGAGAGTGTCGTGCCACTCACGGGGAGCCTGGCGTAGGCCGTAGACGGGGCGCCGCAGGAGCCACTGGGTCCCAGGAGGGAAGGTGCCGGTGAAGCCCTGAGGGCGACGCAGGTAGACCTGCTCGTGTAGGCTGCCCTGAAGGAAGGCAGTGGAGAAGTCGAGGGAGTGAAGCTCGTAGTCACGCTGAGCAGCTAGGTGTAACAGAACCCGAAGAGTAGTCATCTTCGGGGTCGGAGCGAAGGTCTGGAAGAAGTCCACCCCCTCGCGCTGACTGAAGCCTCTAGCCACATAGCGCGCCTTGAAGACAGGCGGCTCTCCAGGAGGGCGCTTCACCTTGAAGAGCCAGCGGCCATCGACTACGTTCACCCCAGGTGGGGGAACTGCGTCGACGAAGGTGCCGGTGGATCTCCAAGATGCCATCTCCTGCTCCATGGCAGCTATCCACTGCGAGGCCCAGGGTCCCGAAGTCGCCTCAGCGTAAGTGCGAGGGGTCGGGATGTCGAAAGCGTCTGGGTCACCCTCAGGGACTAGCAGCATGGAACAGAGATGGGGAGCAGCCTCGGACAGGAAAGCAAGCTCGAACTGGCGGTCCTCCAGGACGTCACTGCCAAGGGCAGGAGCACCCCCGACAGACGGAGGACAGGCAGGGCCAGAGACCAGAGCAGTAGCGTAGTCAAGGCGGCGGGTAGAGGCAAAGTCAGCGACAGCAGCGACAAGAGCGTCAAGGCACGAGACCGGAACGGACGGGTCGGTAACGAGAGAGGCAAGGACCCGAGGAACAAGGGGACGAGCTGCACGAAGGTAGTCAGACAGCGGGGGGGGTGCAACAACAAGGGAGGACGGAGGAGGCGACGGCAGAAGGGGAGGACGAGACGCGTGGGAACGAAGCAACATAGGGTGGGAGCGCAAGACAGGCGAGGCAAGACGAGCACGAGAGGGACGGTGAGACCAGACGTGCGACGGAGGAGTCGGGTCAGGAGACAGGGGAGGGGAAACAGGAGGGGAACGAGGGGGGAGACAGGCCGGGGACGAGTCCGGCGGAGGGAAAACAGGGCCGTAGACAGGAAGAGGAGGAGACGGTCGGGGAGGAACAGACGCAGGGTCGGGGGACGGAAGGCCGAGCAAGCGAAGGGCTGACACCAGCGGGGACTGCTGCCGCGGCGGCACAACGGCGACACCTGGACCGCAAGCTGCTCATTGGCTACCACGGGCACGCTCCACACGAGCACCCCCAGAGGGGCCACCCCCTGGGCGACCGAGACGAGCACCCCCAGAGTCAGCTAACGGGTGCTGCGACGGCGGCGGCGGCGGCGGCGGCAACGACGGCTGCAGAGGCGGCAGAGGCGGTGGAGGAGGGGACTGGGGAGGGGACGCCGGGGGAGGGGCAGCTGGGGAGGACTGCACAAAAGGGCCACCAGAGTCAGAAGACTCCTCAACCGGGTCCACCGACGGAAGGGGGGTGACGTGGGACACAACAGAGGGGGCGGGACGGGGAGGAGGAGGAGGAGGGGCAGGGACTACCGGGGAAGGAGTGGCCAGAAACAGGGGGGGCGTAACCGGGGGACCACGGTGGGGGAAGCGACGGTAGTAGGGGACGGTCGTCAAAGGTGACGTCACGAGAGTGAAAGAAGCGGTGAGACGGCGGATGGTAAAAGTGCCAGTCGGACGCGTCAAGGGGAAAACCGAGGAAGACGCAGGGAAGAGTGCGGGCGGTGAGCTTGTCCGTGCCGGAGGCACGAACGTGAGCAAGGCAGCCCCAGACGTCGAACGCAGACGCGTCACCAGGAGACCCAGTCCACAGACGGGTCGGCGAAACCTGCGGCTGCTGAGGGTGCGGCCACAGGTTGAGCTGGTGAGAAGCGTAGCGCACAGCGAACGGCCACAGAAAATGGGGTGCACTGGCATGGATCATGGAGGTGCGAGCCACCTCCATGACCAAACCGATGCGTCGCTCAGCGACCCCATTCTGCTGTGGGGAGTCCGGTAGGGTGAACGTCTGGGTGATGCCCTCCGCACGACAAAAGCGACCAAGGACACCTGAGGCAAACTCTCCACCACGGTCTGAGTGAAGACGCAAGACAGGGAGACCGCGGTGGACACGCGCAGAGACTAGCCAAGGGATGAGAGCGCCAGGCACGTCAGCCTTGCGCTCCAGGGGAAAGACTTTGGTGTAGCGAGTGAAGTCGTCGACGAGCACAAGGAAGTAGCGCTCTCGACGCGGCCCATGGACGGGGGCGGGGCCCCAGACGTCCAGGTGCAGGGTCTGCAGCGGCGCGGCGGTAGGGGGAAACGAGGAGGAGTGAGGGGCACGGTGAAGCCGACCCTCGACGCAAGGCGTGCAAGGTGGGGCTGGGGAGGAGGGAAACGCGGGGAGAGAACCTGGGAGACCAAGGACAAGACCGTGCTGGGACATGTGACGCAGACGCGGGAGCGCAGGGTGACCTAGGCGGTGGTGCCAAAGGAGGGTCGGGTGAGTGAGAGACCGACAGGAGCAGGCAGCAGCAACCTGGGTGAGCGCTCCAGCCGGGGGGGTCACGGTGTCCAGAGTGAACAGGCCGGACACCGGGTCCCGGGGGAACGTGGACAGGGGGGCACCAGTGGCGGCCTCGGTACAGACAGCATACCGCTCGCGACCAGGGAACGTAGTGGTGACGCCAAGGTCCTGGAGGCAGCCGACACCAACTAGGTTCCTGGAGAACGAGGGGATATGCTGACCTGTAAGAGAGCCCGAAGGAACCGCCGGACAGGGAAGGGTGGTGGAACTGCGGGCGACTACCGGACCGCCAGAGGGGTCAGCGAGAGAAACGGCAGCAGGGACAGGAAGCGGCGTCAGGGTGGTGGAGTCGCGGAAGAAACACCGAGAAGCGCCAGAGTCCAAGGTGAAGGAAAGCGAAGCAGAGGCGTCTGGCGACGGAACGACGGCGGAAGCACCAAGACTACACAAAGCAGAGGATCCTACGCCTGACGCAGCAGGGGAGGGTGCACTAGGCACACCTACACTAGGCAACAGTGAGTAATAAGCGGGAAGCACACTAGAGTCATCAGCATACATCACATGCAGAGCAGAAACAATGGCATCCATGTCCATATCAAAGATCTGAATCTTACGACTAAGCAAAATGTGCCAGTCCGGGAGGTCTGGCAACGGGCCGAAGCGCTGACGAAAGAGGTCATCCAGGCGACGAAAACAGCGGGGAGTGGAGTGACCGATCTTACCGCAAACGAAGCAGCGGCGAGGACCGGTCTGGATCTGGTACTGACAGCGCCCGCCGCCAGAGCTGCCACTCGACACACCACCGCGCGCCCGGCCACTGCCAGCGCCGGGCGACCCGGGCGGGAGGACACTCGTCTGCCGCGTCTGCGACGGCTGCTGCGAAGGCTGCGACTGCGGCGGCTGCTGCGGCTGCTGCAACTGCAGGGGCGGCGGCTCAGCTGAACTGGGCAGGGTCCCCTCGTCCGCTCCAGCACCAGACGACTCGACCCCACCACTACCCCCTCCCGCACCCCCGCCTCCGCCTCCGCCGCGCCCAACCTTGGGGTGGCGGCCCTTCCCCGAACGAAATTGCGCGGCAGCAGCAGTCTCACTCACTGCGACAGAGCCGTCGGAGAAGGTACACTGGGCGGGGGCACAACCCTGAAAGATAGGGACAGGCACGACACCGCTCGCCTGGGCGATGGAGCGGTGACGTGTCTCTATCACAGTCAGGGTGTCTACAAAGTCAGTGAGGGTGAGGTCGGCGGGGTGAAGGCTAAGGAAGCGGTCGCGGGCGACAGCAAGGCGGTCAGGGAGGCGGGTGGCAAGCAGGTAGAGGGTAGAGGTAATGGGCGGCTGGTGGGCTCTAAGCTGTGCGTCAGTGCAGGCGGCGCGCCAGGTCTCCTCTATCGAGCGCAGGTGGGCAGCGAGGTCAGAGACAGTGGGGAAAGATGCAAGGTCAGGAAAGAGCATCGGGAGGATCAGGCGACCCACCGAGGCAGCCGAAGGGGTGGAATAGCGCTTGATGACAGCATCTAAGTATGCCTGAGCAGTAGTGAGGGACCTAAAGCGAGGACGCTCGGACGGGGGGAGGGCGTTGCTAATGGCAAGCTGGGCGACAGCATCGCGAGAAAGCCAGACAGAGCGCGCACGGGCAGTGGCAGCAGTAGACTCACGCTCAGTGGGTGTGGGGTCAGCGGGCAGAATAGCAGGGGGGTCTGGGCAGGGGAGCGTACCGTCAAGATGTGCGGAAAGCGGTTCACCATCCTGCCGCTGGCCAATGAGTTGGCGGCGGAGGTCGGCAAGCCACGCCTCGAACTCTAGGGGCTGACCTTCAGCGTCGAAGCGAAGCTCCGCCGCCATCAGGAACAGTCCAGTGCGGTGCAGTGCAGTGCAGCTAGGTGGAGTGCGGTGCAGTGCGGTACAGTGCGGTGCAGTGGGGTGCAGTGCGGTGCATTGCGGTGTAAGGCAGTACAGTGTGGTGCTGGGCGGTACGGTGCAGGGCAGTGCAGGGCGGGGTGGGGGGGAACCGTACCAGTGAGGAGGACGGGGCCTGGGAGGGGCGCGACGGGGCCCAGGAGGGGCGCTACAGGGCCCAGGAAGGGCGCGACGGGGCCCAGGAGGGGCGCTACGGGGCCCAGGAGGGGCGCGACGGGGCCCAGGAGTGGCGCTACAGGGGCCCAGGAGGGGCGCGACGAGGCCCAGGAGGGGCGCTACAGGGCCTAGGAGGGGCGCGACGGGGCCTGGGAGGGGAGCGACGGGGCGAGGGGCTAGAGGGGTGAGCGGAAGCGGTAGGTGGGGGGGATCCTACCTACGCGTGATACCATATTAGAATTGAGAAGTTAATTGATAGAGTGAGAGTACACACAAATATACCTAAGTGTTGTACCCGCTAAGAGGTGACCCTATACAGTCTATACAAACATAACAAATACACATGTTTGACAAAGCTACCTACTCATATGCTACTCTGTCTTGACACGCTTTGGGCGACGGGGCTTGTACACCATTGACAAAGCGACAAGAAAGATGGGGATGATTGTTCCGGTCTAGTACATGCCACTGTAGGTCGAGTATGCACCTGATAGTGTCATGACCTGCACATATACAGCCACAGCAAGCACACCCACATGAAAAAGAGGCAGACAGCAGAAATCAGCAGGCAGCACGAGGCATAGGTAACATTGACCATCACTGCAGCAAGGTGGTTTGTTTGAGCGCCAGTGGGTATATAGCAGAATATGCAGACTTGCACAAAAGGCGCTGGCCATGTAGCTGCACGCAAAGATGCTATACAGCGTGTGCAGCACTGCCACAATACGGTGGGCGATGCATCCCTTGGGGATACCACTGGTGAGCTGGTAGATGGCTGCAAGAGGAGAAACAGAAATGAGAGATGGAGGGAGGGAGAGGGATATGGGAGAGAGATATGTGACAGGAGTGCAAACCAGTTAGGGGAAGAAGGGGGAAGAGCTAACGTAAAGGAGAAGTTTCACTGGCGGGAAAGAAGGAATGGGAACGAGATGGCAATGGAAGTGGTGGCGAAAATTGTGCATGCTACAAACGTCTTTCCGGTCTGTTTGCTCGTTTTCTGCAATCCCAGTTGACAGCTCCATTGGAGCGGTAGCTGTGGCTCAACTGGAGCGGTAGCAACTCGACGGAGAAAGTCGAGCCTGCTAAGAGGGAGCGATCTAGGAGTTCGCAGAAGGACAGACTCGTCGCCACCGCCATCGTCGGGCTCACTCGTGCCAGCCATGACGCCAGTGGCACGAGTGACGACGGTCGGCAGCGACGGCGAAGGTAAGCAGAGGTTTTCTTCTGCTAGTACGGTGTGAGAGATAGATTTGGTGAAGGGGAGGAAGGGAAGGTTGAACAAGACAAGGGTTTCATCTGCTCTTCTTGGGGGTGAGTGAATTGTGGGGCGCCTCGGAGTGGGTGAGGGAGTGAGGTCGGTCGTGCATGCATGGATGGTGGCTAAGGTCGGCGTGCGGTGGTGAGGGAACTGCTGCCAGCCTTGCAGTGATGCTGCAGTCGTGACTAATCAGCGCGAAGGATGCTGCCAGCAGTGGCAAGGATGGCAGCATATGACGTGCCACTGCCTGGCGGTACGCGTAAAATGACGCATCTTGCAGGATATTGGGGCAAGGCCAGGTACAGGGTACAGGGGAAATCTACAGGTATACCCCCTATACACTAACCCTCAGAGGGGTACAAATGGTTACTCTGATATAATCAGAGTAAAATAAAACCTCAATTTTCTTCCTCAGGGCACCTAGAGTAGTTTTCAAAAACGACTCTGATTTTCAGAGAAACAGAGTAAATTACTCTGATAAAATAGGCCTTGATGGTGGCCCTACGGATATTCTGGCATCTGTGTGTGTGTGTATATTATATACTTGTATGCTCGACTAACATCATAGTTAAGTCTATTTGATTTGAAGGTTCCAGCACACGCACATCCATCTACTTCAGCATGTAGCAGTCCCTTACTGTTGTAATTGTTACCTCACGGGTATGCCTGTTAGGGAGTTACTCGTATATCGAGTTCCGGTTGCCTCTTATAAGCACAACATCCACGTCAGCCCTCGCGTGTTCAAATCCATGCTGGTGATGACATCGTCCGCGCGCGCTTCCCTCCATGCTCCGCATTTCGCTTCCCCCTCTCCCAACCCCCGAACCCGCTCCTCACACATCACAAGCAAAACACGCCTTCCCCAGAGCCGAGTTGCGTCTCCCCCTTCCCCGAGTCACTTCCGCTTCCCGCCATTCCTCCTCTCCTGCTTCTTGCCCGCCGTTGCCTCCGCTCCCGCCCGCCCGCCCAAACTCGCACACGCATTCCGCTGCCGCGCACAACCCCTGCCCATGCCTGCGCTGCTGCAACGTGCGTAGCAGGGGGAGTGGGGAAGAAATCTCCCCGCATCCACCGCCACCAAGGCGCCAGCCCCCCCACCAACGCCCCTCCTGATTCCGTCCCCCCATCGCAGTTCATCCGTTTCAGTTCAATTCCCTGCACCGCTGCTGCTCCTGCTGTTGCAGCTGGCGCTGGCGCTGGCGCTGGCTCTGGCGTTGGCGCTGGCGGTGCTCCGCCATGGGAGTAAAGCGAACACCACGGCAGGCGGCATGCTGGTTGGTGTGATGTGTGTTTTGGTGGAGCACTCGAGCCGAAGCAGCGTGCACAGCCCAGAAGGAAGTGCTTCCCTCGCCTCTCAACTCATCCGAGTGAATTGGCTCTCTGAAGAGCCGAGTCGAGAGGGTGGGGTGAAGGCATGAGAATGGCTTGAAGATCGCAGTGCGAAGAGAAGCGAAGCCGGAGAGTTGCCACGCGCAGCGAACGCGCTGCGCTGCCAGTGACCACGCCGCGTGCGTCCCGCATTCGCTGCGCAGCGCCCACTGTCGATCGCGTTTCTCGGGCCCATACGCCGCGCTGCGAGATTCGCGGACGCTCCTGATACTTGCGATAGCGGACTAGTAGCGGTCCAGCTCTAGTGCGAGCTTGTAACTTCGTCTCCACTTCGCCATTCGACGTTCCTCTCTTCGCCAATCGCGAATCTCGCGCGATCCGTGGCTCCGCTCGTTGGTCGTCGCTGCTGTCGCGTGAATCCCGCTGATCCATCCATCCATTCTCGCCGCCTCACTTGCTCGAGTCGCTCGAATCTGCATCGGACGGCGGTCGTGATCACAATTACCTAGATCTTGCCCTACAGTCGGAACACACGTGTCCTCACTCGCTCACTCTGTGCGGAATTTCAGGCTCCGACAAGTCTTCACCACCCCTCCTCTCTCCCCCCCCCCCCTTTCCTCTTTCTTCTCACTCACTCATTCAGTCACTCTCTCTCTCTCTCTCACACACACACACACCTACACACACACTCACTCGTGCACGTGCACTCACTGCCTCCTTTTTTCCTCTCGCACTCTTCACACCACGCCTCACCGCTCCCCACCTCTCTATGCGACGCTCCGCTGCCTCATGGCCGTGGATCCCCCCGCCACGTGTCCGCATCTCCTTGCGTTCAAGCGCCGCGCGCCGCCCTTCTCCAGCCCCTACCAACTTGTGCAGCGGTGCGTGCGTCCAGGCCCCAATCGCCGCCCCGTATTCTCCGTGACTCGCGGAACAGTCACGTGCTGCTCTATCTGCCGCCGCACCGACGTGCGTCTTTACGTCTGCCTCACCTGCGGCGCCGTCCTCTGCCGGCCGGGCGCCGCCGCCGCCGCCGCGCCGCGCGGAGGCAGCGCCGCCGGCCGAGAGGGCGATGCCGCCGCCGGCGCCTCCGTCCCGACTCGGTCGCGATCCGCGTCTGGCGCTGCGGGAGCGCCGCCAATCAGCCTCGCTTCGAGGGGCGCTCCGGATGGCGGGTTAGGCGGAGGCTCCGTGGGGGGATTAGGGGGCGCGCAGTGCGCTGCGGCCGCCGCCAGCGTGCAGGAGATTAAGGACGATGAGGAGAGCGGGGTCGCGGACGGGTGCAACGAGACGGGAAGATCTAGCGAAAGCAGCGGCGGCAGCAGCGGGGGGGACGACTATTCAGGCGGACACGTGCTGAAGCACGCGCGGGAGGCTCCCCCTGTGGTCGATGGGCGGAGAGCGCGCGGAAGCAGCGGAGGGTGGGGCGGGGTGGGCGCGCGCGCGTCCTCGTCCCCCGGCAGGCCCGGGGGAAGCGGAAACATCGGCGGGAGTTTGAGGCGGGGGGGGTCCGCCGCAAGGGGGGGAGGCGGAGGGGGAGGCGCGGGAGGGGGAGGGGGAGGGGGTGGGGAGTGGGGGGGGACGAGTCACTGCGTGTTTGTGGAGCTAGAGCGAGTGGAGTTGTTCTGTGCTGCGTGCGGGGAGTATGTGGTGGACGGAGATTTTAGGGCCTGTGTGAGAAATGCGGTGGGGGGGCTGGGAGGAACGGGAGGAGGGGCGGCAGCAGTTGCTGGCTCTTCTGCAGCCCTTCCTGCTGCGAGCACTACTCCTGTTGCTGCTGCAGAAAAGGCAGCAGAAACCGTAGGAGCAGCAAGAGCAGAAGCAGGAGGAGGAGGAGGAAGAAAAGGAAGAGGAGGAGGGGTTGCTCGTATGCGGGCGGCGTGGGAACCAGGTGGAAAGGAGGGGGCGCTGAAGGAAGGGGCGATGATGATGATGCCGACAATGGGCTCTGGGAGAAGAACTAGCCGGTCTGTGCTTTCACCTGACCCTCAGGGCTCACCCGAAGACCTGTATGCGGATTCACCTGAGGGGTCACCTGAGGTTGAAGCGGAGTTGGCGGAGAGAGAGGGGCAGCTGCGTGCGATGCCGCGTGACTCGGTCGCGAGTGCGTGTGAGAGAGGCAGTAGCTTAGTAGGGAGTGAAAGCGCTGGCGGTAACGTTGACGCCCCTGCTCCTGCTCCTGCTGCTGCTGCTGCTGCTGGTGCATCGTCCTCCTTAGCTGTGTCTCTCAGCAGCGGAGATTCAGCAGACGCGGCGGGCGCATTTGGTGCAACTAATGCAATGGGTGGTACTGCAAGGTCAGACCCATTGCGAGCAACGGATGGTCTAGGGCCCATGGAGGAAAGATTGAGGGGCGATGCTGGGCGGGGGGGTGCTACTGCTGTTGCTGTTGCTAGGGATGCGGTGAGAAAAGGAGAATTGGGAAGGGGAGGAGGCCTTGAGTGTCTATGGGACGGGGGGTTGGGGAGAGGGGAAATGGGTAGCGGAGGAGGGGGAGAGGGAAGGGGAGGAGAAAGCGGAGAGGAGGATGGAAAGGAGGTTACCCTGGGGGGAGGAAAGAGCAAGGGTGTGAGAGAGAGGGGCGGTCATGGGGCGAAAAAGGGGCGGGGTAATGTATGGATAGGCTCGAGTGCTCGTGCGCCTGGGGAAGGGAAGGTTCTGGGAGGTGCTTCTGGTGAGGGTGGTGACCAGGAGCAGAGGGTGGGAAGAGGCAAGAGGGAGCGGAAAGAGAGGGTGGAGAAGGGGCAGAAGGAGCAGCAGGGGCAGCAGGGGCAGCAGGGGCAGCAGGGGCAGCAGGGGCAGCAGGGGCAGCAGGGGCAGCAGGGGCAGCAGGGGCAGCAGGGGCAGCAGGGGCAGCAGGGGCAGCAGGGGCAGCAGGGGGAGAAGATTGTCCGGCCCCCTTCGCCTAGGATCACTCGAGCTGCTGCCAGGCAGATGCAGCAGCAGGAGGAAGAGAAGCAGCAGCAGCAGCAGCAGCAGCAGCAGCAGCATGCCGTGCAAGAGCAGAGTGGGGAGATGGGAGAGGCAAAGGAAGTGGAGGGGCACGAGGACGAGAGAGGGGAGGAGGGAAGGGAGTCGAAGGGCGTGGGAGATAGAAAGCACGGTGGAGCTGCGGCCGGGAAGGGGAGAGGGAGGAGGAAGGAGAGAGTGAGGGAGAGGGGAGGGGGGAATGCAGCAGAGGGAGAAGCGGTGAAGGGGGAAAGGGAGGGCGCGTTTACAGCTAGCGGGTTGGCAGGTGCTTTTCATTCTGGTCTGATCGCTGTAGCACCTGTCAAGAGGCCACGTTACATGGTAACCAGAGAGGGGCAGGTGGGGCTAGAGGGCAGGAGAGAGAGAGGCGGGGTGGGGGAGGAATCTGAGTCTGCGTCAGCATTAGCACTAGAAGAGGAGGGTTTTGTGAGCTTTAGTGTGCCCAGCAGCATTAGAGCCCAGGTAGGGGGGGCAACAGCAGCAGCAGCAGCAGCAGCACAGGCAGGAGCAGCAAGGACAGGGGCAGGGGGGACAAGGGCACTGGGAGCATCGGGAGTGCGAGGAGGGGAAGCTGCAGGAGAGGGGATACGAGTGGGAGTGCGGCAAGAGGGGACTGGGAGAGTAGGGAGGCGAGGAGGAGGAGGGGGAGTGAGTGTGGAGGAGGAGGGGGGTGTGGTTGGTAGGAGTGCAGGCATGCGTGGGAGGAGGAGCAGGGCAGTGGTGGTAGTATCGACAGATGCAGCTGCTGAAACGGCAGCTGCAGATGCAGCAGCAGCAGCAGCAGCAGCAGCAGCAGGAGGAGGATCAGCAACAGGAACGGGAGTAGGAGGAGCAAGTGGATGGGGCGTTAGCAGAGGCGCATTGGCGCGGCTAAGAGGGGATGCTGGTGGGTTGGGGGAGTCAGGTGGTGTGGCTAGGGGGCGGGATGCAGAGGCCGAGGAGGAAGAGGAGGAAGAAGAGGAGGATGAGGAGGAGGAGGAGGAGGAGGAGGAGGAAGAGAGGTTTGACGGGAGGGGAGTGAGGCTCCGAGGAGCAGCAGGGAGAGGGAGGAAAAGAAGGAGGGAGAAGGGGAGGAAGAGGGAGAAGAAGAAGGAGAGTGAGGAGGAAAGCACGGTGCGTAATAGCCAGCGTTCCGTGAACGTTAGTGGGTCGCACAGTAAGGGGTACAGCAGTGGCAGGAGGAGGAGAGCCGTGATAGAATCTACAGTCGGACGTTTGAACGGCCAGGATCTTCTTGAGGAATTTCCAGCTGCCCCGGATTCTCTTTCTCTGGAGAATCTGACGAATCTGACATCAGGGCAGCGAGAGAGTGCGGCGGGGGGAGGGGAGGAGGCACAAGAGGGTGGGACGGAGCACACGGAACAAGGGGCGCTGCAGAGGGAGGGGGAAGAGGGCGGGGCGGCGAGAAGGGAGGTGAGGAGGAGGCAGAGAAGAGGGGTGGGGAGTGGGCAGCACGAAGGGGAGGGCGGTGGGGGTGCTGAGGGGGATGTTGGGGAGGAGAGTGCTGCTGGTAGGGGTGGTGGTGGTGGTGGCGGTGGGGGTGGGGTGGTGGGGGCGGTAGTGGGGGCGGTGGTGGGGGCGGTGGTGGGGGCGGTGGTGAGGGCGGTGTTGGTACTGGTGGCTTGGAGCAATCTGTTACCGGTGAAGGGTTGGGAAACGCGAGAGGAGGGGCAAAAGCGCCTGGCCTGGCACTTGCTGACGCGGAAGGAAACGAGGAGCCGTGGAAGGGAGTTAGGGTAGGGAGGGGAGGGAGGGTGCTCAACGGAATCAATGCAGCAGTAGAGGTTAGAAGAGGGGGAGGTAGGAAGGCAAGCATGGCGAGGCGAGTCGAGGGAGATGGCTTGGGGGGAGGTGTGGGTAGAGGTATGGAGGGGGAGAGGGGAGGAAGCTTGAAGGTGGGGGGTGGGGTTTTGGCGTTGGGTGAATGCGTGGGTGAGGTAAAGGACGAGAAGGACGGTGTAGAGGTAAAGGAGGTGAAGGAGAGGAGAGAGGAAGGGAGCAAGGGGAGCAGGTGGAGGAGTGAGAATGGGAGGGCGAGACGAGAGGTGCGGGAGGGGGGGCACAAGGGGCGGGTTGGAGTAGGGAGTAGGGCGAAGAGTAGAGAGGAGAAAGGTGTGGGAATGGCAGTGGCGGCAGGGGGATTTGAAGGGGGGGTGAAAGGGGAAGTGAACGAGGCGGTGAAAGGGGCGTGGGGAGGGTTTGGAGAGGAAGGAAGGCGAGAGGTGGGAGAGGAGATCAAGGGAGTAGGTGTGAGAGGATCGGACAGGACTGTGGAAGCGTTTTGTGTGGTACGGCAAGCTGGTGGGTCACTAGAAGTGGCCGTAGGAGGGAGCGAGAGAGGGGAGGGGAGAGGGGAGGAGGGAGGAGAAGAGAGAGGAGAGGAAAGAGGGGAGGAGAGAGGAGAGGAGAGACGGGATGGGGGAAGAGGAGAGGTGAAGGGGAAGGAGAGGGCGAGGGGTAAGGAAAAGGCAGAGAAGCCAGAGAAGCCAGAAAAGCCAGAGAAGCCAGAGAAAGCAGTGAGAGCACCATCAAGGCGGCACGGGGGAGGGGTCTCGGCCAGGGAGAAGCAAGCCCTGCGCGAAACAGAGCAGGGAGTGAGAGGGCCGGACGGGTTCCCCCATGGGTTGAGGGGGCTGAATAACCTGGGCAACACGTGCTTCATGAACGCGATTCTCCAGGCGCTCGTGCACACTCCCCCCCTGCGGGCACACTTCCTCTCGCGCTCCCACTCCCAATCCCAGGGGCATGTGGCTGCTCCCCCCTCGTCCCCTTGCAACCACAACCACAGCCACAGCCACAGCCCCACGCACAACCACAGCAACAGCCAGACTCCCATCCAGAACCATACCCTCAACCAGAACCACAGCCACACCCACAACCACGCCTCCCAGGCCCCACCCGACGGCCCGACCAACCCAATCGCCACTGCATGCACGCCACTTGAGTCCCAAGGTGATCTGAACGTTGCTGTGTGCAAGCACGCGTCTCAGGGCAGGTCGGACGCGGCCGCTGGCACAGGCTCGCACCCGTGCCCCTCGCACTTGCCTCCAGCAGGTAGCTCCTCCCACCTGACGGGGGTGGGGGGGGAAGTAGGGGGGGAGGAGGGGAGAGGGGGAGGCGCGGGGAGAGGAGGTCTTGAGGCGAATGGGGGAGCGGAGGAGGGGGGGGAGGGGGAGGCAGGGAGGGATGGGCGGAGGGATGGAATTGGTGGGGGGTTAGAGGAGGGCGCGGAATTAGTGGGTGGGGAAGGAGAGAGGGGCGGAGGAGGAGGGACAGGCTCAGAACCAGGAGGTGGAGGTGAAGCAGCAGCAGGGGGAGCAGCAGCAGCAGCAGGGGGGGCAGCAGCAGTCGCAGGTGGGGTAGCTGCAGCAGCAGCAGCAGCGGGCCCAGTGCGGGTGGTGCCGTATGTGAGTCCGTGCTTGGAGTGCGAGCTGGAGGGGGTGTATGCCGCCATGTTCAGTGGCGAGAGGAAGCCGTACAGCCCCGGCCAGTTCCTCTACAGGTGGGTGCGGGTCGGTGCATGTGTGTGCACATATGTTCACGTGCGTGTTTGCGCGTCCAAATGTGTGCATGCCAGTGCAAGTGTGCGATCGAGAGTGCATTTGCTCTTGCGTTAGTGGGGTGCCTATAAAGAGAGTGCAAGAGAACGGACCTTGCTCCTTCATCTCTCCTCTTTCCTCTCCAGGAATATCCGTCGGTTTAGCAGAGGGCTCGTTTTTGTTCCTCTTTCCTTCCCTTCCCCCATCCGTCCCCAGTTGGTGGCGCGTGACTGACAGCTTCGCTAGCTACCAGCAGCAGGATGCGCACGAGTTCTTCATCGCCACACTCAACGCCCTCCATGCCGCCTCCGGCCTCGCCTCGCCCCGCCGCAAACCCGCCACTGCTCCTGCTGCTGCTGCTGCTGCTGCTGCTGCTGCCGCTGGTGGTTCTGGTGGCAGTGGTGCTGCCGCTGTTGCTGCTGCTGCTGCTGCCTGGTAAGTGGATTAAGTGTGTGTGAGGGTGCGAGGGTGAGAGGGTGCGTACGATAGAGAAAGCAGCAGGTGTACGTGGGAGCGTGCGTGCGTGTGCGTGTTTGTGTGTGTAGACATGATTGAATCCTGACAGAACTAAACTAGACCATTCAATATCCTGCGAATCCCTCTACCCCCTCTGTTCCACACTGCCTCATCACGCCATACTGCCATACCCCCCTCCAATCCACCCTTCCCAACTTCATCTCCTTCACCCTCCCTCTCCCAGTGTCCCTTCAGTCACCGAGTGTCGCTGCATAATGCATGAGGTGTGTTTTCCGGGCTCCACAAAAAAAAAAAAAAAAAAAAAAAACATCCGTCTCTCCCTTCCTCCCTCCCTCCCCCCCCCCCCTCTTCCCCCCCCACCCGCTTCCCTCCTTCCGCCCCTTTCCAGCGTCCCATCAGTCACCGAGTGTCCCTGCATAGTGCACGAGGTTTTTTCCGGGCTCCTGCGATCAGATGTCACCTGCACGGCCTGCGGGTGTACCTCCACCACATACGACCCGTGCGTCGACATCTCCCTGGATCTCAGCCCCCACCTGCTGGCTGCTGAATTGCATCAAGAGCAGCAGGAGCGGCAGCAGCAGCAGCAGCAGCGCCGGGAGCTGATGCTACTGCGGCGGCGGCAGCGGCAGGAACAGGGGCAGGGGATGGGGGTGGGGGAGGGGGGGAAGGGGGGGCAGAAGAGGCAGAAGCGGCAGCATAAGCAGAGGTACCCACGGGGACGAAAGAGGGGGAGGAGTAGGAGTGTGATGGTTGATGAGCCTGCTGCTGCTGGTGCTGCTGCTGGTGGTGCTGCTGCTAGTGCTGCTGATGCTGCTGCTGGTGTTGATGGTGATGGTGAGGGAGTGATAGAGGTACCCCCATCCCCATCACCTCCATCATCACTTCCACCTCAATCGCCATCCGGAGCACTGTTATCACCATCCCCACCCATTGCGCTGTCATCGGCAACGCCAACGCCAACACCCACGCCCACGCCCACTCCCACTCCGACATCAACGCCAACGCCAACACCGTCACCAACCGAAGCAGGCACCCCTGTTGATTTCTTTGATATCGATGATGCTGCCGCTGCTGCTACTGCTGATACTGTTGCTGCCGCTGCTGCCGCTGCTGCTGCTGCTGCCGCTGTTGTAATTGACATGCAGACCATTGAGCATGGGAGGGAGAGTGATATGGGTGAGATAGGTGCAGGTGAGCAGGAGCTGGAATGGGGGGAGGAGGGGGCGGAGATGGAGAACAGTGCTCTTGGAATGTGTCCGGGAATGGGTGCACGGGAGGAGGTGGGAGAGGAGGCTGAAGAGGAGGCAGGAGAGGAGGCAGGAGAGGAGGTGGGTTTACAAGCAATGGCGCACAGGAAAGTCGATGTGAGTACTGCTGGTGTTGCTGGGGAGGGGGTGAGAGAGGAGAGGGAAGGCGGTAGAGGAGGTGCGGACGGCAGCGGCAGCGGGGTTGGGAGTGGGAATGGTGGCAGCAGAAACAGCAGAAGCAGCAGCAGCAGGAGCAGCAGCAACAACAACAGCGGCGGTGAAGGTTTGCAAGGGAAGCCGACAAGGGCAGGGGACATAAGAGCAGAAGACGAAGGTGAGGCAACCATGGGGGAGGGGGGGAAGGAGAGGAGGGAAGCAACAGGAATGGCAGATGGTGCTTCAGGTTCAGGCCTAGCTGATGGTGCTGCGGACCCGGCACAAAGCGGTATGGGATTAGCTGCCGCGAGTGTGCATGAGGGGAGTGGTGCGCACTTCTGTGCCGACGTGCACGAGCCTGCTTCAGCAGCAGCAGTACCAGCAGCAACAGCAGAGGGTACAGCAGCAGAGGGTAGAGGAACGGATGTGATAACAGCAGTAGGCGTGGGTGCAGGTACAGAACCAGGAGCAGTGGTGGCAGGAGCGGATGTGGCAGTTGCAGTTGCATCAGCTAGTGGTGCAGCAAGGGGATCAGCCACAGCAGCCCTACCACCGTTAGCACCTCCACCAACAGCAGCAGCAGCACCACCACCCCCACCAGCAGCACAAGCAGGAGGGGCAACAGGAGGCGAGGGTGCAGTGGCGACATTGATTGCGTGTTTGGATCGGTTCACACACCCAGAGACGCTTGGAGTGAACGAGAAGTTCTTCTGCGAGGCTTGCCAGGTGAGGTGTTGACTGGGAAGGGTTGACTGGCGAGGGTTGACTGGTGAGGTGTTGACTGATGTTTTGATGACTGGTGAGGTGTTGATAGGTGAGGCGTTGACTGGTGAGGTGTTTGACTGGTGAGGTGTTTGACTGGCGAGGTGTTGACTGGCGAGGTGTTGACTGCTAAGGTGTTTGACTGGTGAGGGTTGGCCAGTGAGGGTTGGCCAGTGAGGGTTGGCCAGTGAGGGTTGGCCAGTGAGGGTTGGCCAGTTAGGGTTGGCCAGTTAGGGTTGGCCAGTTAGGGTTGGCCAGTTAGGGTTGGCCAGTTAGGGTTGGCCAGTTAGGGTTGGCTGGTTAGGGTTGGCTGGTGAGGGTTGGCTCGTGAGGGTTGGCTGGTGAGGGTTGGCTGGTGAGGGTTGGCTGGTGATGGTTGGCTGGTGAGGGTGAGGGCATACCAGGTGAGGCGGAGTGAGTGGGTTGTGCATGCATGCTTGCATCGATACTCTTGGAGGAGTCAGTCAATCAGTGAAGCAGGTGTGCCTCTCCTGCCTGCCCCTCATGTCTCACCCGCCTGCCCCTCGTGTGCTGTGCTGCCTCTGCATCAGGCTGCTTCTGAGTGCACTCGTATTCTCTCTCCCTCTACTGCCCTCCCCCACCACACCAGATCCTGCAGGAGTCAGTGACGCAGATGTCTCTTGCTTACCTGCCCCTCGTGCTGTGCTTGCACATCATCATTCTAGCTTCGGGGCGCAGCAAAATCTCTCCCCACTCATGCTCGCTTCCCCCTACCCCAACCCCCTCCCCCACTACCAGATACGGCAGGAGTCAGTGAAGCAGATGTCGCTGGCACGCCTGCCCCTCGTCCTGTGCCTGCACATCAAGCGCTTTGATCACTCCCTCTCAAACGCCTCCCTCCTTATACTCTCTCCCCCTGCCCCCCCCCCCCCCCCCCTCACGCCACCAGATCCGCCAGGAGTCCGTGAAGCAGATGTCCCTGGCGCGCCTGCCCCTGGTCCTGTGCCTGCACATCAAGCGCTTTGAGCACTCGCTGTCGCGCAACGCCTCGCGCAAGATCACACGCTTCCTGCACTTCCCGCTCGCCCTCGACATGTCGCCCTACCTCGCCTCCAGCATCGCCCGCAACCGTAGCCGTAACCGCACCGCCTCCGGCCTCGCAACCCGGCAGCCCACACCCTCGCCGCCCCTCGCCTTCCCTCCCCTCACCTCCCCTCCTCTCGCCTCCTCTCCTCTCGCATCCCCTCCTGTCTCTTCTCCTCTGTTCCTCTCGCCTGCAGTGACCTCTCCTCTTCTCGCCTCCCCACCTCTCGCCTCCCCTCCTCTCGCTTCCCCTCCTGTCGCCTCTCCTCCACCACCACCACCGCCACCTGCACCCCCTCCTGATGCAGCTAGCGAGCAGGCCAGCCTCTGTGGACGCGCAGAGGGAGTGGATACTCCAGGTGGCTCCCTCACAGGGGCTGCTGGTCTTGGTAGTGCTGCTGGCACGGCTAAGAATGGCAGTACCAGCAGCACAAGCGGCTCCAAAGAGGGGCTTGGTGAGTCAAGCAAGGGTGAGGATGCTGGTGCTGACTCAAAGAATGCATCCCCGTCACATGGCCTGCCTGCCGCCGCCGCTGCTGCTGCTGCTTCTCCCGGTGCTGCAGCAACCGTTGCTGCTGCAGTAGCCAGTGCGCGTGGGGAAGTGAGTACGTCTGGTGAGAGGGAGGGGGGCGACCATCAAGCCAACAATGACGCACAGTACGACGCATTTGCTGTGATTGCGCACTCGGGAAGGAAACTGGACAGTGGGCACTATGTGGCGTATTTGAGGCTTGGAGGGGGGTGGTTCCGGTGCGACGATTCATGGGTCACTGCGGCTGATGAGAAGGATATACTGCATTCCGAGGCGTACATGCTGTTTTACTTGAAGCGCCGGATTTCCTGACTGGAGAGAGTGCTCGGAAAAAGTTTGAGGTTTGGTTGGGTTGAGAAAGATGAGACGGGTTGTTTTTGCTGCGGTTTTGTTGGATTGATTAGGCGCTGAATGAGGTTTGGCGGTTTGAAATGCATCATATGTAATTGCGCGAAACATCGATGAAGTCTACAGTTTTGCGACGTGATTTGTGAAATTACATCGTATATGCATATGATGTAAGACGTAGATGTATGCACAAGCCACTTTCACCGCGTGTACTTCTAGCGCGGTGCAGCGCTGTGCTTGGGCGCAAATCCACCCGCCTTTCCGCTTACTGGATCAAACATCACTCCTAGCACTGGAGCGAATCTGTTTCTAGTGCGCCAAACGCCAGATTGCCCCGTTCGTGTGACAATGTGAAACCACAGTGTCCCTCCCAACCAAGGCATCCGATGCAGTGCACGGGCAGCTGGCATGGCAGGCTAGCATGGCAAGGCAAGGCATCCAGGTGTGGCGTGCCGAGGCTCGTGCCTCGGCGTGCCGAAGCTCCGTCGCCCCATGTTGTGCCTCTGCCATGGTATGCCAAGACTTGCCTTGAAACACAGCGCGCCAAGCGAACAAGCAGCACAGCTGGTTGGGAAAAATCCCAGCAGGACCCCCCAAACATTGCCCCCAATATTTCCCCTAACAGTCCCCGAGCTCTCCCAAGTGTCACTAGTGCGAGTGTGACAGGGCAGCCTGCCTAAAATCCCATAACGTCCCCCCTCCCCCTCCCCTACAACCGCGACGGCAATTCAGGCACGTATGTCTGAGAGTCCTTAGTACTAATGTCCAAGAATGCCGCGAAGCAGCGCTGGCGTCGGCCGCTCCATGCGGCACTATGGCTTCCTCCCTGTCGATCCCCGCGTTTTTCGCTCGCAATCCGCGTCGCGATCCTCCTCTCGGTTCTTCTCTCGCTCTACCTCGTCTACAAAGAGACTCTATTTATAGACCTCGTTCTCGTTTCCCGCATGCAATTCGCTCCCGCGATCCGCCACCCTAACGCGACCCAAGCAATCCTGACCGTCGCGCTCGGGTTATCCTCGATACGGCCCGTCTCGTTTGCGAACAAGCAGTCGTACTGTAACCGGCACGGCATCGAGTGCATCTTCGTTACAACTCCGGTCAGCAACCGTACGCCTGTGTGGCAGAAGGTGGAGCTCCTAGCGCGTTACCTCCCGCGGTACGAGTGGATATGGCTGCTCGATCTCGACGCAATCATTACCAATAAGTCCGTCAGCATTAGCGACATAGTTGCCAACGCGCAGGCTAGATCGCAAGCGCAGGGGCAGCAGCTGTCTAACCCGCTGATCGGAGCAGGTACTCCAGTTCCGGGGCTAGGGAGAGGGGGGAGAGCGGCGGGGGGATTCGGCGCGCGCAATGACAGTTCCGCCCGAGCAGTGAGCGCAGCAGCGAATGCCACTCATCCCGCGGATGCCGCGGACGCCGCCAACGGCGCAACCATTCCCGCCACTCACCCCCACGTCGACTTAATTTATGCGCGCGACTACGAGGACAGGGGTCTTAACGCCGGGTCGCTCTTCTTCCGCCGCGCGCCGCGGTTCCTAGAAACCGACTTCTTCCCCCATTGGCTGGCGCTCTCGCGAATGTTCCACAAACGGGAGCTCGAGGAGCAAGGCGCGCTCGCGGACATGCTGCAACGTGACTATAAGGGGGTGCGGGGCGCGTCGGTGCGGCTAGAGATGCAGGAGATTAACTCGTATTGTCCCGAGCATGAGATTAAGGAGCTTAGGTGGCGCCGGGGAGACCTGGTGGCGCACTTTCCGGGGCAGTGTAAGAAACGGCTTGTTCCGTTTGTGAGGCGGAATTGGAAAGAGATTCTTGATTAAAGGCGTACTGTGTGATATATGGTACCTAATGGGAGGTACCAACCAATGTTTAAGGTGGCATAATGACATCGGTTCACATCCTCCTGGCCTGACCCTTGCCCTGCAAACTGCCTACGTTTCCCGTCTCATGAGTCGATTTTCGAGTCGACTAAAAAATCGACTTATTACACACGTTTCCCATACCTTCCCATTTCCAGAGTAATATCCCCATCCGCATGGCCCCCCATCCCACGACTCCCCATCCCATGCTTCCTCATCCCATGACCCCCCATCCCAAGACTCCCCATCCCATGACACCCATGACCCCCCCCCATCCCATGCAGGTGCTCTCTATGTTTCCTGTCCCTCCTGCCCCTTGCTCCTCTGTCTCTGTCTACCATTCCAATGCCTGACTCTCCATCCATGCCACTCCCATGGCTCATGGCATTGCATGGCATGGTGCTCTGCTACAGTAACACTCAATGTACTATGCCACTGTACCTACATTCGTGATGTGATTCCTGGCCTGCTCAGAAGGCCAGCGGGCATTGGCTGTACGTTATGAACCATGGTGCTTTAGTATGGAAACTGGGATGTCTTACCGTATGTAATGATTTCAAAGCTATTCAGCCAGACATTACGAAACTTGCTGTTCTCCAGCCAGCCGCCCCTGGCAATGGGACATCACATCACATCACCCTAGTAAAGTAAGGCCATACAGCTGCGGTGTTTATGGTTAGTGCACGCAGCCCTTGCATCTGCCCGAGGTTCTCGGGCAGTGTGGGAAATAACATGTGGCTGAGATGCAGGCGCTGGAGGCGGGTGAGGGCTGTGATTGCAGGAGGGAGGGAGGAGAGAGAGGGGAGGGTATGGAGGTTCAGAACTGTTAGATTCTGCAGGGAGTGGATGTGGGACGATGAGAGGGAGGAGAAGACTCTTAATTCGTGGAGAGCCAGGCTTTCCAGGGAGGACGGGAAAGGATCAGCTACAGTTTCGAGAGAGACACAGTGGTCGACGCGCAAGTTCCGGAGGGAGGAGAGGTGGGACATGGCCTGCTGCATGGAAGCGGTGCGCAGGAACGAGTTGGAGACGATTAGGGTTTGCAGGGTGGAGGGGAGCGAGGCGCGGGCGGGGAGCTTGTGGAGCGTCACGCAGTCACGGATCTCGAGGCGGACGAGGGAGGGCAGGCGGTGCAGGCCTTGCGGGAGGGAGCCGAGGGAGGGGCACTTGAGGATGAGAAGGCGCTGGAGGGAGGGGAGGGGATGCGGGGAGGCGGGCTGGGCTGAAGGTGAAGGAGCGGTGGTTGTAGAGGCGGTTGTAGCACTGGGAGCGGAAGCAGGCATGGTGGAACGAAGGCAGTAGGTAGCAGGAGGAGGGGGAGTGGTGAGCGGCAGCAGCTTCTGCAGCAGTCTGCAGCGGGAGAGCTCCAACTCCTGCAGGCCCACGAGGTTGCCCCACCCTGCAGGCAACCCCTTGAGGTGGTGGCAGTTGGCGATGCACAGCCGCTGCAGGCGGGTCAGCTGGGTGAAGGACGCCGGCAGCTGCTGCAGCTCATGGCACCCGTGGATCTCCAGGGCAGTCAGGGAATTTGCCAGCTGCCCGAAGGTGCTCGGCAGGGCAGTGAATGCTGTTTCCGGCTTCTCATCGTCGTTGTCGATGCGAAGTGTGAATTCTCCTCTTGGGTCAAACATGGAGGCTCGCACTCCCAGCTCCTCATCTTCCCATTTCGTCACATGCCCCTTCCATCCCAGGGTAAGACTCTCGAGGCCAGGCAGCTGAGAAAGAGACTCGGGCAGGATTGCGAGCAGTGCACAGCCAGCAATTTCGACTGTGCGGAGTGCTGTCAAGTGCCCGAAATTTCCGGGCAGCCCAGTAAAAATGTAGCAACCGTGGATGGTGAGGTGTTCAAGCTGGGCGAGAGTAGCGGCCAGAGCAAGAGTAATCCCAGAATCTGCTACAGTGAGCCGCCTCAAGTTCAGCAACTGCCCAAAAGATTCGGGCAGGTCGCAAGGTGCAAATCCGCTCAGGTGCAGCTCGGTCAGCGCAGACAGCTGCCCGAAATCTTCCGGCAGAGATTCAAACTCGCCTCTCAGAAGCTCCAGCCGAGAGAGGGACTGCAGGCCTGGAAAGGACTCTGGCAGAGCCGTGAGAGTCTCACACCCTGCCACGTGGAGGCGTGTGAGGGAGGAGAGGAGGCCAGCTGATTCTGGAATAGCTGCAAGGGAGGGGAGGTTTTCCAGCGAGAGAGAGGAGAGGCGGGGCATGTCGCCAATGTCATCAGGCAGGGCGGTGAGCAAAGGGCAGTCTTTAATGGTGAGAGCTGCGAGGGAGATAAGGCCGGAGACGGAGGGTGGAAGCGCTCTGAGGTTGAAGCAAAACTTTATGTTTGCTTCCTGGAGTGAAGGCAGTTCGCCGAGGGAATCAGGAAGGGTCTGGAGGTTGGAGAGGCGGGAGATATGGAGCCGTTTCAGGGAGGAGAGCTGGCCGGTGGTGTCAGGGAGAGAGGCGATTCCGAGTGACTCCAAATGAAGGGTGCGGAGGGAGGATAGGAGGCCGAAGGAATCCGGCAGAGAGCCCAGCGCAGTCAAGCACACCAGCTCCAGATGCAGCAATTTTTCCAGCTCCCCGAGGCTGTCGGGCAGCTGCCGCACCCTACAAGAGACCAGTTTCAGCGTGGTGAGGGAGTGGAGCTGGGAGAGGGTGTGTGGGAGGGCATGCACGGAAGAAGCGTGCATGTGGAGCAGTCTTAGCGCAGAGAGACGGCCTATCTCTTCAGGCAGGTGGGTCTCAGCCGCCCCTGTTGCATCAGCTGTATCACCACCAACGGCCCTAGCAGTAGCAGTAGAAGCAGTAGCAGTAGCAGTAGCAGTAGCAGTAGCAGTAGCAGTAGCAGTAACAGCATCGGTAGTAGCAACAGCAGCAGCAGCAGCAGCAGCAGCAGCAGCACCAGCACCAGCAGCACCAGGAGCACCAGCAGCACCAGCCCCAGCAGCCCCAGCAGCCCCAGCAGCCCCAGCAGCCCCAGCAGCAGCAACAGCAGCAACAGCAGCAACAGCAGCAGTAGTAGTATCATCACTTCTGGCAAACGACACTTCCAATCTCGTCAGCCGTTGCAGTAAGCCCACAGAAGCGGGCAGCTCGGGCAGGCACTGGGGCAGCGAAATGTTCAGGCTGACCAGGCGACAGCAGGCGGAGAAAAGAGCGGTAACGGACGGCTCTGACACGTTCGCGACGGCATCGTCAGGATCATAGCCGTGGTTCTGCTCCCAGGAGCGTAGGTTGATGTGGTGGTGCAGGGAGAGGTGCGTGAGGGAGGTGTTGCAGCCGGCAGCGATGGCGCGAAAGAGAGAGTCGGTGACGGCGTCCAGAGACGACGGGCCGATGTGCAGATGACGCAGGGTGAGGGGGGAATGGAGGGGAGAGGATGGGGAGAGCGGGAAGGGAGAGGAGGAGGTGGGAGGGGAGAGGGAGAGGGAGGGGATAGGAGAGGAGGAGAGGAAGGAGATCAGCGATGGGGCGGGCAAGCGTAGGTCGGCCTGCAGGAGGATGGCGGGGAGGCTGAGGCACGCCAGGCGCAGCCACCGCTTGCACACGAGCGCGTGGCGGAACACGGTGAACGGCGGCGGCGAAAGGGGCGCGGAGTCCGCGCAGGCTTCGGAGGGGGGCGGCGGAAAGGCGGAGGCGAGGACCTGCGCAGCTGACGGCGCGCCATAGTCGAGGGGGAGACGCATGTTACGACTGTAGTTTGACGCTGTGGCTGCGGCCTCCAGGGCGAGAGCTTCCGTGAGCTGAACAATGCGTACGAACCGAGGGCACGGTTTCTCCACTGCCCGCTCGATGCGCTCGCACAGCTCACGCTCGCTCTTGTCGCCAGGCTCACCCTCGTCCTCGCTGTTGGCGGACCCGTTAGCAGCATTCCCCTCATTTCCAGCCTCCCCGTCACTGTCCTCCGTAGGAGCCCCGTCTTCTCCTTCCTGGCCAGCATAAGCATTTGCAGCGGCAGAAGCGGCCGACGCGCCGGCGGCGGCGGCGGAAGTGGCAGCAGCGGTGGTGGGGCGTGAATTGGGTTGGAGGCAGAAGCCGTTGGAAGCTGTAACAACCCTTGCCCTTATAACATGGGCAACAAGGGTTAAAGTCCCAACTCAACATCCAAGATCCTAGGATATAAAATAGGGTACAAAATCAACTAACGATCCCCTAGCGTAGTATTTAGGAGGAACCTCCTCTAAGAGATAGCTTAAGCTTGAGGAAGGCCCTTGAAGACAAGTGTTTGAGACTTTGGTTGGGTAGGGCTTCCCCGTAGGAGATTACACTAGAAGTCACTAGTGAAGGGAAGCTTGTGAGGAGAGCACATGACTTAGAGAAAAATCCCATTTCAAGATTGATTTCTTGGAGTGGGAAGTTGAGAATGAGCTTCTCAGCTCAGACCCCTTCCAATGACTCCCAGCAGCTGCTCAACCTCCTCCATGGCTCCAAGGAGGTGAGCTAGCTTATGTGGCAAAAGGGTTGGATTTCCAACCAATGAGAGGTTTACAACAATATATTCAGATTAGCATATAGTGTACAGCATAAGAATATTCGAGTTGAGTTGGCACTGCCAACCAACTCCCTGGTTCTGATTGGTCACAAATCCAACCATCGCGTGAGTTGGGAATTTCGCCAACTCAATTTGTACAACTAAAATCTGATTGGTCCCAAGTGTCGACCAATCCTAATCCTCCCCTCCCAACCCTTCCTTCCCATTTCGCGCTACCTAGCATAGGTAGCCGATTTGTGGAAAGCGGTTGGGAAGGTCGTTTCTAGGTCCGCGTACCGTGCAGATGCCATGCGTTACACTCCTCCCCCTCCAGGTGGCAACGTCCTCGTTGCCGTAGAGTGCTTCTGGGGACGGGTGCTTCGAGCGCGCCGAATCACATTACGACCAGGGTCAACACCACCCACTGGTTGTGAGGCTGCTCTTTGAGCCAGGTCTTCCAGATATCCGTGAACCGCAGTTTCGGTCAAATGTTCCTTTGGCTCCCATGAGTTGTGTTCCACTTAATGAGGAACTCGCGTACTGTCTTGCGGCCGCGCTGTCGATCACGGTGCATGAGCACACGCTCGACCTCATAAAAGAGTTCCTCTCCGAGGACGATTGTTGGCGGAGGTAAGTACTTGCCTTCAGCAATGTACTTATTGAGCAGAGACACGTGGAAGACATTGTGAATCTGCAATGTTTCGGGTAACTTCAACTTGTAAGCTACCACATCAACGCGCTGGATCACCTCGAATGGCCCAATCCATCGAGGGAACAGCTTTCATGCCCCAGGGATTTTGAGACGAATGTTCTTCGTGCTCAATAATACCTTGTCTCCAACCTCAAAAGAGACTTCCCGGCGTTTCATGTCGGCATAAGACTTTTGTCGCTGCTGAGACAGCTGTAGCCAGCGGCGAGCAGACTTGAGCGCTTCTTGCTGCTTGCCCACAAAGTCTTGCGTGGCAGGGACTCGCAGTCCGCCTATCCCATGCGTAGCAGGTGTCGTGGGATGCCGACCACAGTTCAGAATGAAGGGTTTTTCGTGGGTACCTTCATGGACGGAATTGTTCACTGCGAACTCAACCACAGGTAACAAGTCATCCCAATCATCCTGAGTTGGGCCAATGAATGAACGAAGCATTTGCTCAAGTGTACGATTCGCCCGCTCTGTCTGCCCATCCGTTTGGGGATGGAAGGCTGACGACATCTTTAGCTTCGTTCCGAGTGTCCGTGTAACTTCGTGCCAGAACCGGCTTGTAAAGCGCGGATCTCGATCGGACACTAGCACGCGCGGTAACCCGTGTAAGCGGAACACGTGTGCTACAAACAACTTGGCCGTATCTTCCGCAGATACGTCTGTCGTAGTAGCAACGAAGTGCACCATTTTGGTCAGTCGATCCACAAAGACCAAGATTGTAGTATGACCGTCTCGTGTTTTTGGGAGGTCTGTGATGAAATCCAGTGAGACACTCTCCCAGGGTTCGTCTGGAATCTCCAGTGGTTGAAGCAAACCACCAGGCTTTTTCGTGTCTGACTTGTTGCGTGCGCATGCATCACAACGCGACACGAATTGTTGGACCTCAGTCCCCAATCCAGGCCACCAGTACACGTCACTTAAGGCCCACCGGGTTTTCTTGATACCCAGGTGTCCCCCGTACCTGGTGCTATGCACTTCCTCAATTATATCATTCCGCAGGTTACCCACGTGGGGTACCACAATCTCTTGCTCTCGCCACCAGAGCTCATGCTCGTACTTGAGGCCCTTCGTATTTTGTGGGTTCTGAAACCAGGAGTCAATATGGTATCCTGTGCGGATGCGTTTCAGAAAACCACTGAAGGTGACCTCACTCACTCGAGCCACGGCAAGAATACTGAAGCAAGCAGCAACCACTGCCTTATCCTCGGTTTCTTCAAGCCTAGTCGCTGCCCCTATCGGCTGTCTGCTGAGGGGGTCAGCCATGTTCGTAGAACCTGCACGATATCGAATATCGAATGTGAACCCACTAAGGAGTTCTGCCCAGCGGGCTTGGCGCCGAGTGAGCGTGGCTTGAGTAGAAAAATAGGTGTTCGGACAGTGGTCTGTCGTGACCACAAACTCCACACCTTCCAGATAACATCGCCATGTGCGCAGCGCATGCACGACCGCCAGCAACTCTTGTTCTGACGTCGTATAGCGCTGCTCTGCCGGGGAGAGTTTCCTACTGTCAAATGCCACTGGACGGCCCTCCTGCAAGAATACCGCCCCAATCCCTACTGTCGAGGCGTCTGTGACCACCTCATAGGGTTTAGAAGGATTTGGCAATACCAGAACCGGAGCATTGGTCAGCTTTGTTTTGACTTTGTCAAATGCCTCTTGGCATTGTCGAGTCCACTCCCATGCACTACCCTTTCGGGTGAGTGCTGTCAGAGGGGCAACGATAGTTGAGTAATTTTCCAAGAACCGGCGGAAATATTTGGGCAGGCCTAGGAAGGATCTGATCTGGCCCACGTCTTGTGGGACGGGCCAATTCTGAACAGCCACCACCTTCTTGGGGTCGACTTTAAGTCCGTCGTTCCCGACAAGATGACCGAGGTATTCCAACTCGCGTTTGTAGAAATGGCATTTCCATAAACGAGCATAAAACTTGTGTTCTCGCAACTTTCCTAACACCCATTTTAGGTGTTGAGTGTGCTCCTCTTCAGTCTTGGAATAAACCAAGATGTCGTCAAGGTAAACCAGAACGAAGTGCCCGATTGCTTCGCGGAACACATCGTTCATGGCCCTTTGAAAAGAGGCTGGAGCATTGGTCAAGCCAAAGCTAAGCACACGCCACTGAAAATGGCCAAACGGCGAACGGAACGCCGTCTTGGGAACATCTTCCTCAATGATGCGCAGTTGGTGGTACCCCTGTGCCAGATCCAACGCGCTAAACCACTGAGCACCCTGGAGTCGATCGAACAGGTCTTCTATCCTTGGAAGAGGATATCTGTTCTTGATCGTGATCTTGTTTAAGGCGCGGTAGTCGACGCATATGCGTAAGCCACCACCCTTCTTGTTAACGAACAAGATTGGTGCTCCATATGGTGATGCGCTTGGCTCAATCCATCCCTTCCTGAGGTACTCCTCAATTTGTTGTTTAGCCTCCTCGTACTCAGCTAGACTGAGGCGATACAGAGGTCGAAACGGTGGGAGCTTTCCAGGCTCCACAGGGATGGTGTGGCCCACGGCGCGGTCAGGAGGGAGTCCGTCTGGAATAGACTCAAAAACCTCCTTAAACTCATCCGCCAGTACCTTCATTTGAGGTGGAAAATCCTCAAAGTCTGGGGTTGGGGTTCCAGCTTCCTCGAGCTGTACGACGAAAAGTGTGTTAGCAACGCGATAATGCTGTCCGAATTAACATGCAAGAGCAAAGCACACGTCTGCACTTTTCGTAATTTGAACCACCGGGATGGTTGTGTCGACAGACACCTGCCACTGAATTGGTTCACCATTCTTGGTGAAAGAAACTGTGTTATCCTTGAAATCCAAAATAACCTCGTTTGCACGTAACCAATCCATTCCCAAGACTACGTCGACACCCGCAAGCAAGGGGAGAACGTAAGTGCGAATCTTTTCGCTATAGCCTTGGATTTCCATGTCGATCAATGTCTGTCCTTTGCTTGGGATAAGACTATCGTCCCCAAGACGAATGGGACATGACGGTCCTTCAACGAGGACCCCAAGCGGTGTGACCCACTTTTCATCAAGGAGGGAAACAGTGGCACCTGTATCGACAAGAATTTTCGCGCTATGTCCGTTAACGTGACCCGAAAGGAGTAGATTTTGTTGATGCATTGGACGGATGGGGCATGCCACAATGTTCGACGAGGGTTTGTTGTACACCTTGACATTGTGGCGAGCTCGTCCAAAGGATTCAGATTTGGTCCACCACACGTGGTGTCCCTTGTCCCAAGACGCCAGCACAACCCATCCACGAAGCGATTCGAACGTTTCGCCCTTTACTGTACGAGTCACCATGGCGACCGCAGTCAGGGGGTGCTCTTGAGTACAACGACTCACAACATCGAGTACAGAAGGCAATGTTTCCAGGCCACAGTAAACGACTGAGAATTTATCTCGTAACGCTTCGATGGATCGAGGTGCAAACATTGACTTTTTATTAAAAGAAGAGGCAAACAAATAAGAGATTTTGCATTCAGCAAGCTTCTCTAGCTTTAGTAAATCATCGTCACATAAAGCATATGCCTCATCCCCTCGATCTATCTGACCAACTTGGTACCCACACCCTAGTTGGACTTCTGAAAATCCTTCTTACTGCCAGAAGGTCCTTCGCCGCCATTGTTGTTGCCCTTAGGCTTACCACTATGCTTTATGATATTCCTATAGCGGCACTGAAATTCCATGTGACCACGGCGGCCACACCCTCGGCAGACGACATTAGAGACGTCCCTTGGCGGCCCTTTGTAACCGCCACCATTCGCCCTCTTAGCTGGAGGACGCTGCTGGTTACCATTCTGGTGGAAGGGCCTCTTGTACCCATGGCCCTTCCCCTTGGAATTCCACTGGCCACCACCACCATTGCCCCCATCACCCCTCGCCTGAGTCCTCGACTCAGGCTGGTCGGTGGAAGGCGTTGCTAGCATACGAACAGTCTCGTCCGTTGCTTGAACCGCCTCTTTGAGCTCCTTGTAGGTGCTCCATTTG